CCATCAGCACAGCACCAGCATTGCTGGGGGGTTCTGACCTCTCGATCTTGCTGCCGCTGCTTCTGCAGGGTGCCGACACGGGCCTTGCAGGCGGCATCACGAAGACACCACCCAGCGCTGCCAGCACCACTGCACTGAGGACAAGGGTCTTGGTGGCACGAACCATACTTGCGGACGCTAGCAGTCGAGGTCTCACACAGCACTGCAAGAAAAGCCAAAGGTGCTGCAGAATGAAGGAAATGTTATGCCTGTTATGCTCTGCTTGCCAGGTCCATCGCAGCTTGGAGCAAACCCCAAGAAGGTGCACATGTGCGTTTTTCTGCCGCTGCCAAATCTGAGCCAAATCTGCTTTCAGATTGCTGTCAAACCTTAAAAGTCCTGTAGAGACATGCATGCCGTTGCAGCAGGGCTGCAACATCATTCCGTTGTGTGATGGGAGATACGAGTAGAGACAACAGAGGAGCGCTTCATGCTCCCGCGTGGCTTTGTAAATAAAGGTGTGACACCGCACCCTTTGCGTTGGGCGCAGGAATTCTGCATTATCTATTTGCTAAGTCAAGTACATGAGGACATGCCTGGCTGGGACAAGAAGGCTCTGCCTGTGTCCCATGGTGCCCCAAATTCCGGAGCCTGCAGGTTGTTTTTTTGAATTCGCTTCATTTGCCATCTACGGCTTTCGGTACACAGCGTCTCCGACGAGACCCCAAGTCACGACACTTCCATCATGCCGGATTGCTCCAAAGGACTTGCCAGATGCATGGATGACACGAATATCAGTCAAGAGGTGCTGCACTGCAGAACTGTCACCTCCATACATCCTGTTACCCCAAGTCACAACCTGACCGTCTTCACGCAATGCTGCGAAGGCCGTCCTGAGAAAAAAGCCCCGACATCATGGCTAAGGGGGATGCTGGGCTGTACAGAACAACTCCTGCAGACGGCTGAGATACCGACTGGTTTGCGCAGACCTGTTGCACGTCCTTCAGCTGGTCGGGCAGGCAGCTTGAGTCGCCCCCGCAGAGGTCATGGCCCCAAGTGACCACGCTGCCGTTTGAGCGGCTTGCAGCAAAGGCACCTGTAGTAGCCTGCACATCCGCAACGTCTTGGAGCTGCTCAGAAAGTGCACTGCTGTCACCGCCAGTGGTGGCATCTCCCCAGGTTATCACGCTCCCATCATCTCGGAGCGCAGCGAAAGCAGCGTCGGTGGCTCGGAGTGCGACAACGCCGACCAACTGCTCCTCAACAGGATTTTATGCAAGCTCATTTTCAACGGCTAACCCTGCAAAGAGCACTATTCTCAGTAGCAAGCAAGCATGGTTCCGAGCCCACGAACTACTCCTCAACACCGCGGGTGCTGCCACCAGAGCGTGGACAACCCCATGCCACCGCAGATGAATCAGCACGAATGGCTGCAAATGCGTTGCCCGACGCATGCACAGACAGCACCTCTTCGATGCGACTGCTTCCAGAGGTTATGTCGCCCCCATAGAACTTGCTGCCCCATGCGATTAAGCTCCTGTCTGCACGAACAGCAGCAAACGCATGGTTGGCCGCATAAATCTGGGTCACATCTTGAAGCTGCAGCTGCAAGTTGCCTCCATCCTCTGGATTGCCCCACGTGATGACTTTACCATCTTGCCGCAATGCTGCAAAAGCGCTGACATTGGATTGCACAGCTCTGACGTTGTAAAGCTGACTCGAGACCGGCCCGCAGTCACCACCAAATAGTGGATCTCCCCAGGCTACCACATGACCGTCGCTACGAAGCGCAGCGAACGCACAGTGGGTGGAGCTGAGCATTTGTACCCCCTCAAGCTCCTCCATGGCAGCTATGTCAATGTCTCCTCCCGCAGATGGGTCACCCCAAGCAACCACAGATCCATGACCATCTTCGAGGATTGCTGCAAAAGCCTTGGAGCTGGCTGCAAGCTGCTGCACACCCTGCGAAGCGCAAGCGGAGACGGAAGTCTTCACTTCCTCGTTGCTGCTCATCAAGACACTGCCATCATCCCACCTGACAGCAAGGGCATCGTATGGTGACCACATGTCCTCCAGCGTAAAGCTGCGGACAGGCGAGGCGCAGGACTCCAGGTAGGAGGCAATCAGGGTCTGTCTCACTCTGCCAACAACCAAATCCCCATCCTGCAAGCCCGCATCGTTCAGGGTCGTGTTGTTTTGCAAGGTCTTGGCATGCTTCAAGAGGCGGTCAAGGTGAACGCCCAAAGCCTCTTGTGCTCGACGCCGGAGCTCCTGCACAGTGCAGTCCGGCGCCAGGCGCACCCGTGCTGTGCGGCCGCTCAAGAGGGCGACAGAAATGCAAAGCATTGGACGCCAGGGGCTTGCTACTGCCAAGGGATTTTAATATTTTAGCTTCGCTAGCCAACCATGCTGGCAAGAAGTTTCTGGAAAAGAAGCCATTGACATGCGCCACACATGAACGCGAGTTAGCAATAATCGACGCTCCCGGACTTGCCTCTCCAAACTTTCCGCAGCCATATGCTGCAAGAGTGTGAGGACCGGCTCCCACTGCTGTCCTCTGCCACAGGCGGTCATGGCCTTGGCCGCGAGATTCGCAACGACACCCACTGCAAGCACTACCGGCTGTGAGGCCCCTACGGCGCAGAAGATGATGACGTTTCGAGCCACACTTCTGCCTCTTTAGACTGTTCGCTTAAGGCTGAAGGCACCTCGAAATCGCTTCACAACAATCTGCTACCACAAGACGCTGCCCGCCAAAAAAGATGTCATGCATCAGAACGCATGAGTTGGAATTCGGAGTAATTCGGAGTTACCAAGGCTCGTGCTCTCCATGCTGTCCATGAGATCCAAGGCCTGGCATGAAGCTTTAGGCTCTAGGCTTCGCAGCTCCTGCAGAGTGCGGTGCTCTGCCTCGCACCAGCGTGCTGCCTTCTCGCAAGCGCTTATCACAGCGCCGAAGGTTACCACGGTCCTGGCACCGCATCTGCTCAATGATCTCTGGAACTGATGGGACGACCTCGCCCTGGTCTAGCCTCATTTTGGCCGGCATGGCGGCAAAGACTGCCAGGGCCGCCGCCCATTGACCGCCTCTGTGATGCAAATCTGATGGAAGCCGTGCTCGCAACAGCAACTGCGAACTATGAAGAGCAAGATTTCTGCACCTTGCCACAGCAAACGCATGTCTGACACACCCCCTGGTCTACGCCTACGCAACATGCTGCGACAAGATGGTAGATTTTCAGCCCCAGGCTCCTCGCTCACAGGCACTTATGACGGAGTTGTAGGTGACCTCCTGACAAATGCCCGCCCCCACTCCCCCTCCCTAGCGCCAGTGTTGAGGAAAGCGGCAGAATTCTGTCAGGCTCAGTGCGGCGCATTTGGCTCGGCCCCAAGCTCAGATGACGCTGCCAACAGTGCCACGGCGGCCTCCCAGCATCCTGCCTGCCATGGGAATGACTGCGGTTCTTTTTAAGGAATGGCTCCAAACATCAACAAAGATCAGCTAGCAGCAGCTGCAGTGCAGGTAGTTGCAGGTGGATAGCCATTTCTCCGATGCCCCACAGCTTCGTCAGCTCCGAGCGCCGGAGCTCTTCAGTTGGTTGGTATGGGCTTCAAGCTGAAGTTGCTGTCACACTGACAGCCTTGGCCGATTCGTCCATCGCCTAAGCGCACCAAGCTGCCCTCATTCTCTTGAACCGCCAATGGATCCCTCCTATGTACCTTCAAAGCTCAGGCAAGTCCATGCAGCTTCCAGATCCAAGTACCCCACAAACTTGTGGAATAAAGAAGGCAACAACCTGCTAATGTGATTGAACCCAGACTCCAAGTCGACAGAAATTGTTGAGGCAGAAATGGATCATGCAGCTGTAACTGCCCGCGGCGCAGTGTGCCGCGTTGACGCGCGAAAGGATCCCTGGCTGAAGTAGCGGTGCAGATCGCTGTGCTGCGCTCTTGTTCTTCTCCTCTGCGAACATTTCGTCCACCTGTCGTACAAAGATTGCACTAATCCACCCAAACGCGGCTGCATGCCCTACAGAATTCCCGAACATGTTCGATCTGGCTGAAAGCAAGGCTTGAAGAATGTGATGGAGCGATGGCGACTGAAGCCGCATGAATTCGCCGAACTGCACCTAGCAGCCCTACCTTGGGGAAGATGCCCTGCAGAGCTGCTGCAGGTGCCCCTTCCGTGATCGACTTTAGGGGCTCGGATCCACATGCGTCTTCCTATCAGGGTTGGCCAAGGCTCATGCATGCCAGTGCTTCATGCCCTTGAGCTGCCCTGGAACAAGGCAGTTGCAATCGTCACCAGCAGACATCAGGTTCAGGCAACGTGTCCTGCAGCTTCATAACAGCAGAATAATTCTGCAGCAGCTCCGCCCTGGGCAAGTCCAGGAAGCCAGAGACAACACCTGACGCATCTCTGCATCGTTCAGAGCTCGCATAATTCATTATGACCACGATGAACAATTCGGTCAGAGGCTGCCACTAGTACAGTGCAGTACAAAGTTGGCGGTCGTTGTGGTCATGACCTTCCTTTTGCCCCTACTTTGTTAGCAACCGAAGCAACGACTGCTGCAGGGCACTGCCGTCACCACCACCATGCAGCACCGGCAATGGCGACGACGATGATGGCGCAGGCAAAAATCACTTTCTTCGAGCATCCCCGCACTAAGGTTGGGTTGAACCCTGACATTGTCTAGACAGATATCCATCTTGGCAAAAACTGCCCTTAATCATGATAGGGCATTAGTGTTATTTATTTATACACATATTTCTGTTAAGCTTGCGCGTTTGAAGCCCTTCTTCTTCTGACAAACACCGTGATTGGGCACGTGCCAAAACGATTGGCTTGTAACAGGGCCCGTGGCCCACACCCGTTACATACACCGTTACATGGGGTATGTAACAGAGGGAGGTTTTCGCGACATACCCAAATATTTTTGTCCTGCGGAAGACATGAAGGCTGCACGACAAGGGGTATGTAACAGGCTGGCGTTTCAAGGGGTATGTAACAG